CCCTGATGTGGACGCCCAGATATTTGAAGCTGCTCACCCTCTCCACTTCGAGCCCCTGGATGAACAGTGGCTGATGAGTTCTCCTCTCCTTCCTCATGTCCACTATCATCTCCTTCATTTTGTCCATGTTGAGGCTGAGATTATTGTCTTAGTACCATGACACTAGACCGGCCACCTCCCTCCTGTAGGGTGCTTCGTCCCCACCAGTGATGTGACCTATCACTGTGGTGTCGTCCGCAAACTTTAGGATGATGTTGTCTTTGTGGGAGGCGACACAGTCGTGGGTGAACAGGGTGTAGAGGATGGGACTGAGGACACATCCCTGTGGGGTGCCACTGTTCGTGATAATGCTGGCTGAGTCCTATTGCCAATCCTTACAGTCACAGAAGGTGGGGTGCAGACCCAGTATGGACAGTTCGCTGTCTGTGAAGCTGATGATGCTGGTGGTGGTCCTGCATTCTGTGATGTGCTGCAGGCCTTGCCACATCTGTCCGGAGTCAGCAGTAGAATAGAAGCCATTCAGCTTCTCTCTGTACTGCCTCTTGGCCGCTGTGATGGCTTTCCTCAGCTTTGTACTCCATCTCATTGTCTGATCTGAATGCATGAGAGTGAGCATGCAGCATGTGGCATACCTGGCTGTTTATCCAGGGCTTCTGAATGGAAAACCTCCAGACTTGTATGGTGGGCACAGTGTTGTCAATACAGGTACTAATGTAAAAGTCACCTGCAGCAATAAATATAACACCAGGGTGCGCTGTCTCTAGCGCGCTGATGACCAAATACCTGCAAAACTGACACTCCCATCAGCTTCAGATGGACTTTGAGTTTTGTGCAGATTAATAAATCTCACTTTGCTACAGTAATGCACTAAACAGAGATAGTGGCTAAAGAACTGTTCTTGTGATCATGCTAGTATTTTGCGTTTAACATTTAGAAAAACTGCCAAATGTGGCTGTCTACTCTTAGTGTTGTAATTTAAAAGTAAGCGACAAATTTGATCACCTTATCCATGACTGGAGGAATATAACATCTACTCAAACTGTTCTCTATATTACAGCAGCTTCATGGCATGCTTTTCTTTTATGTTAGCCATTTTATATAAAACACAAAGGAAGCATTTAGATTTAAGCTGTGACCTTTGTGTGATATTAGTGTTATGGCACACATCTTCCTAAAAGTCACACAGGGAGATTTTTCTGGACCTGTATAAAAAGATATTCCCCTGCCTGAAGAGGTTTCAATACCCCTCAAAGACACCACATGGATTCTTTCAGTCAGCACATCAATGTGATAAACATGATCAGTATGCTGTATCCAAACATTTCTTATCTTCAGAGGCCAGTAATACGGTCATTTGATAGTTACAACAAATAAAATCTGATTAAATTTGGTTTCACTTACTGGGTCCAGCTCGTCGGTTTATTTTCACGTCTCCTGAAATTAAAATACAAAAACTGGTTAGTGGGGCTTTATAATGTCTGTTGGCTCTAACAAGAGATAATTCACTAGCCAATGAGTGGAATTATTCTGGCACCCTACAAAATAACTGCCAGGCTTTTAATCAGCCATCACTGTAAAGACCAAAAAACACAATCGTGAAATTCTGTTGGCCCCATCAAACCAGGACCTGCAGCGTGCCCTGGCGCGGTTTGCAGCCAAGTGTGAAGCGGCTGGGATGAGAATCAGCACCTCCAAATCCGAGGCCATGGTTCTCAGTCGGAAAAGGGTGGCTTGTTCCCTTCAGGTTGGTGGAGAGTTCCTGCCTCAAGTGGAGGAGTTCAAGTATCTTGGGGTCTTGTTCACGAGTGAGGGAAGGATGAAACGGGAGATTGACAGGCAGATCGGTGCAGCTTCTGCAGTAATGCGGTCGATGTACCGATCCGTCGTGGTGAAGAAGGAGCTGAGCTGTAAGGCGAAGCTCTCGATTTACTGGTCAATCTACGTTCCGACTCTCACCTGTGGTCATGAGCTTTGGGTCATGACCAAAACGGCAAGATCCCGCATACAGGTGGCCGAAATGAGCTTTCTCTGCAGGGCGGCCGGGCGCACCCTTAGAGATAGGGTGAGGAGCTCGGTCACCCGGGAGGAGCTCAGAGTAGAACCGCTGCGCCTCGACATCGAGAGGAGCCAGCTGAGGTGGCTCGGGCATCT